TATGTGATGATTTGAGGATACGACGCATCACTATTCATCTAGGATGTGCCAAACGTTCATGCCAAAGTGTGTGCGCAGTCCCAGAGGTAGGGTTGGCCACATAGTGGCTTTCTATGAGGCGTATGGTCATAGTATACAGACCACTCGGGATATGCTCCATCTTTTCTAGAATATGCTTCTGGCTATATTCGTAGGAAGTTATGCATATAAATTCAACTCCATTTTCTATGTGGGTTTCAGCATGATAATTCTTATCTCTAATGTCCCTAAAAGCTCAACAACGTTCTTTCGAAACGTGGAGAATAAAGTGCCTCATCAATGGTTAAGATTGTACCATTGGATAACATTATACGTGCCTTATCATATCCTTCGATCAGGTTGGATGGGCCTGACAGGATATTCAAAGGTGCATTCTTAGGTATGAAGTTAGTGAAATAGATGTGTTCACTCAAAACAGTTTGTGTAGTTGTACTATCGGCCAGACAACTAACTTCCCCACTAGTCATTCCTAGAATGAAAATTAATTTGATTCGGTCACATGCATAAAAGTTCTTAAAAATAAATATCCATTCAAAATAATTTTAAGTATTCAAGAATGGAAATTAATTAAAAACTGAATATCCAAAAAACAAATCACTAACAAATAATCCAAACATAAAGGAAAATTGTTCAAAATTAACCAAAAAACATAAGGGGGTTCGGCCACTACTGTGGAATTCGGCCTCATGGTCTTATTTCAACTAAAAAAAATACTTTATGTCTAAGATTCTAATCTTCCATAGGTGTGATAGCCTCTTGAAAGTCAGAAACCTCCATCTTCGAATTCTCCAGTTCGTCCACTTGAATAAAGTTTGATTCAAACTTCTTACGACAAGAATGATATTTAGCTACAACCTTCTGCAGAGCTCGGCAAACACGGGACCAATGGTTCTTTGAACCACAGCGATAGCACATATTCGCATCCATTATTTTAGGTGCTTTGCCCTTCTTCTTGAAGTTTGGGGACCTAGGAGCGAGGTTAGGGCGCTTCGGGGCTTTATTTCCTCCCTTAGATAGGCCTTGGCTCTTTTGATGTTTTGGGTAAACTTTAAACGTTTATAATGAAATAGATGGCTAAAAAATAGCCTGAAGGGTAACTGGTCCGTGGTAAAACTGGAAAACTGGCCAGAAACTGGGTAAACTTTAAACTTTCATAACTTCTTCAATACTCAACAAAATCGAGTGATTCAACAACGAAAATCATACTTCTCAACGAGACAAAGAGAACGGTACCTTTCTCAAAAGGTTAACTCACTGCCTTTTGGTCGGAAAATAGCCTGAAAGGTGACTGGTCCGCCTGAAAGCTAGAAAACTTGCTGAAAACTGGGTAAATTTTAAACGTTATAACTTCTTCAATACTCAACAAAATTGAGTGATTCAAAACTGAAAATCATACATCTCAATGAGATGAAGAGAATAATACCTTTCTTCATGGCTAACTTGCTATGGTTTGGCCAAAAAAAGGTTCGAAATTGGCTGTCTTAATCTCATCGAGTTAGCCAATTTCGAGCCGTTTTTCGGCCAAACCATGGCAATTGAGCCATTGAAAAAGTACCATTCTCTTTATCTCATCGTAAAGTGTGATTTTTGTTATTGAATCACTCAATTTCCTTGAGTATTGAAAAAGTTATGAACGATTAAAATTTACAGAGTTTTCGACGAGGTTTCCAATTTTCCTACGAACCAGTCACCTTTCAGGCTATTTTCCGACCATCTTCGGCAACCATTGGGCTTCCAAATAGGTATAATCTTTTTCAACACTTTCCTATCTTCGTTTTGATATATTATGGGTCGAATTTGGTTAAGAAACGATTGAGTTATGAAGCTTTGAAAATTGCCCAAACTTCCGGCCAAAAATCTCAGTTTCTGGTATGAGCTCCATGACCACTTAACAGAAGGACCAAAATAATGGATGGTGGACAATCTCAGGGACCATTTCTATTGATTTTCAATCTCAAGAACCAAAGTGATGTGTTATGCAAATCTCAGGGACCATTTTGGCTAAAAAGCCCATATTTTTTTCCAACTTTAGTATAGCATGATACCCCTCCATTGACGATTCATGCTGCTTTGTTTTCAGACTATGCTGGCATTCCTGGCTTCCTCTTCTCCACTTAATATGCATCTCAGCATATTGGTTTGTCTTACATTCTTAATTTTTTTCTCTTAACCTTGTCATGTTGCTGGTTGGTTTTGCAGGTTTAGACCTTTAGGTTCGGCTTTAGAGGGGTTAGGTTTCATGTCTCCCCCCCCCTCCCTCTTTTTCTTTGTATCTTTGTTATTTTTGTTTCTAGAGGGGTAAGGTTTATGCCCACCCTTCTTTTTCCTGTTCCTTTTTTGTTGTATTATAAGGGGTTAAGTTTATATCTCCTCTTCTTTTTCATGTTCCTTTTTTGTTGTATTATGAGGTGTACCTTATTTTTTTATATCAATAAAATTCTCCGTGTACCGTCAAAGTTTTCAAAAAATAAAATTAAAATAAAATACGTACATTTTAGTAATCATCATTGCACAAGTTCTAGCATCAAATCATCTAGAAGTGGGAATACTAAACAAGGGTACCTGAAACCTACACTTATAAGCTCCACTTCGATTACACCTTGGTTTACCAGTACTTCACTGCTATTAAAATTGCAATACTATTATTTGTGAGATATACATATAAACATATATATCTCAATAAAATTAACCACAAGTAAGCCAATTGAATCACCATAAATCAAGAACAATCTAAATATTAGTGAACAAACGCATCTATGGAATGCTCATGTACTCGCAGAAACACTAACCAGCAGAAAGCAAATTTCTCCTCATTGAGGGCACATAAAGAACATAATCCAATTGTAACACAAAATTAGTTGCAAATTTGAGTCTAACAGTGCCAACAGCTTCAACTGAAACCTTGGTTCCCTCACCCACAAAAACATTATAACAATTTGTTTGTTTTTGTTCCTTAAAACCTTGCAATGAATTAATTAAATGGATAGATGCACCAGTATCAAACCACCAAGAGTTTACGGGAATTTCAATGAGATTCGATTCTTCACAGATATAAACATCAGTTCTACCCTTTGACCTCAAGCAACCCTTGAATATTTCACAATTTTTCTACAGTGTCCTTTGGTTTTACAGTGATGACATCTAATTTTATCAATATTCTTAGCCTTCTTCTTAAAATTGTTAGACTTAGAGGAGCTGGAACTTTTAGCAGATATAATAGACTTATCAGAGAAGTTGGATTTAGAAGTTTTACCCGAATTTGCTTTAAACTCCTTCTTTCCTTTGGTTGATTGCACAAATTGATAAGCTTCTTTGCCTTTGTCCTGGTTTTGTCGGTTTTCTTCTTGCACGCATTGAGCTATAAGTTTATCCACCATCCACGTTTTACCTTCAGTATTGTAAGGGACCTTTAGTTGACTGAGGGCAATGCTTGCAGTATCATGAATACAAGCTGCTTTTCACAAAACTTCATATCTAATGAATTTAGTTTCTCAGCTGCATTAGTCATCTTCATTATATGATCTATGATTGATCCTCCTCCTTCAAACTTGTAAGTGGTGAGAAGAGTCATGTACTAAGCTATTTCAACATTTTGAAGTTCCTTGAACTTGTTCCCAATTGCTATGAGATAATCTTTTGCAAGATCACATTTCTTAATACCCCCACGCACAGTGTCAGTCATGCCACTTTCCAATATTGAAAGTGCAACTTTGTTTGCTCTAGCCCTTCATTCAAACTCCACCTTTTCAGCTTTGGTACTTTTGCCAGTAAGAGCTGATGTGCTATGTCATACTTATTTAGTATCAAAAGCAACTCAATTTCTCTCCTCCACTTTCTATAATTGCTTCCACCATTGAGTACAAGCACGGCAGCCAAGTTGATGGTTTTAAGTGAAAATGCAGAATGATAGCAATGAAATCAAGACTTTGAATCTAACAAGATTCTTGATTTCTATCAATTCCAACACTTTTAATTCTGAATGTGAATCAATTTAATCATATATATAGTCACTGAACATGTTTAGATCAGGCACTTACAGAATAAACAATTCACAAGGAATTACAAACACAGATCCGATCCATGTCCAAGAGAAAGAATTTCTTAGGCCATTCATTACATGTATCCAATTTCTGCAGAAAGTATCAATGAAACCAACAACATACACTAATTTATAGCAATGGAAGCAATTTATATTTACAACTTAAGTTCAATATTTGTTAGAAAATAACGATTTGGATTCAGCAATATTCAATTGCAGATGTTATCTACAAACAAATTAAATCATCTCAATGTTGCTGTCAAATTCCAAAATTCCTAATCTACAACTAATTATTTAACCAAAGTTTTGAAGAATTAGAAAACAAAACGTACCTTCAGCACTTGCATATTCTTGTTTGAATGTTACTGAGGATTGTCGTGGTCAAGAGAAAGAAGAAACAAAACTTCTCAATCGTCACAACTTTTAGCAAAAGCAAGAAAGAAAAGAAACCAAAAACCCAGAAAATAACAGTAAAAAATTTAAAAAACCACTGACGTCTCTTTCGCCCCCCCCCCCCCCCCCCCCCCCCCCCCCTTTTTTTTTTAAATGGTGTCGTTTTGAGTTGTAAACGGTGTCTTTCCTTTAATTCTTTCTGGGTTCGACAAAAGCTTGGAATTTAGATGGAAATTTGACCTTGAACAAGATTTATGATTTCAATGGTCTAAATTTTATCAGTTCTGATACCACATGTAAGATATACATATCATATATATCTCAATAATATTAGCCACAAGTCAGCCAATTAATTGAATCACCGTAAATCAAGAACAATCTAAATATTCGTCAACAAACACATCTATGGAAAGCTCATGTACTTAGTGGCCAAATAATATTCTAATTTTCGCTTGTGTGGATGTGAAAGGGAGAGTCCTACATCGGAGATTTAACCCTCATTTTATTTATGGTTTTTGGACTTTGGTGGGATTGTGCAGTAAATTGTCTATTTTGCCCCTCTTTCATTTTTGTTTGCAGTTGTTGCTCTCATTTGAAAGGTGCTTTTTGGTGTTTTTGGTTGAGCTTTGGCCACGTTGTGTTTTATAGTAAAGATGCCGGAAGCATCTTCGACTTTTTCTTTTCCTCTTCTGTTTTCTTTCTGTTGTTCCGTTTCTCTTTAGTTTTCCCGTCTGTCTTTTGATTTCGGTTCCGATCGGATCTTCTCGAAGGTGTTTGGCGTTTTTTCCCCTGTTTTGCACAAGCGAATCGCTCCCGTTCAGGTATGTTGATTCATGTGTTGGTTTATTTTCTGTTTGGTTAGGAAGAAAATTTTATGATTGATTGTTGTGAATTTGGGCTAGTTGGCTTTTTGGCCCAGCGTTTTCTTTGTTTTTTCACGCTCTACGTCTTGCTGTTATCTCTAATTTTGTATTTTGGTTGCAGGAAACATTTTTCTTCGAGTTTTAGGGTTTTATTCTTCCTAGCTTTTTCTGGGTCAGGTATATAATTTATCTCTTTGTTGTTATATTTTTTTTTTTATTTGGGTTTTTTGATTGTTTGTGCTTCGATTTTTCCCTCAAACTTAAAAAAAAAAAAATGAAAAAAAAAGAGGAATACTGATGATTAATTTTTGGGTTTTGCTTTGTATGTTTCGGTTTTGTACTGTGAGTGAGGAATTTTTTATTTTGGTGTTTTAATTAAGGGCTAAACATTTCCAGCAATACAAATGGATGATCATGATTAATTTTTGGGTTTAATTTAGCTTTTGATTATTGTGGATGACTTGCGAAATTTCTTTTCGATTATGTGATCTGTGGCTGTTATGTTGTTCTTATCTTGATTATATTTAATTGAGATCATGATGATTTATGGGTTTCTTTTTAAATATGATCCAGGTCTGAGCATTCTGGTTAGCAGGCCCGCTTAGTTGAATCAGCTAAGTTTCATGTCTGACATCGACGTACTGCTTCCACTGCCTTTGGTATGTTTTCTGTCATAACTCATATGAGAGATCATTTTTTTTAATTGAATTCAATTGGATAAGTTTTTTAATTGAAAGCCTGGGTACCTAGATGCTCTAGAGATCATTTTCAGTCATCGATACAATACTATTGTAATTTAGTAGCTGTGCAGTTTGAGAATTGGTGTGTAGTTGTTTCTTCAGCAACCTGACTAACCTGATCTACTCAAGAAACCAAGCTAACCTGCTTATTTGGGCATTATTGACAACCTAAATGGTTTGGTTTGGCTTGGCTATAATTCATATGAATCTCAAGTCGTTAGTTCTGGTGTTAGGAACATGGTCTTTAAGATCTGATTTAACAACCTGGAGCAATATGCATATGTACTGGTGAAAATATAAGGTTGTGAGTGTGGTACTGATTCTTTCTTTGTATTAATTGATCTTATAATATATTTTAAGGCCTCAATTATAGATTTGTTTTTCATATCAATTCTTAACTTATCGGTGTTAATAGAACTGATTTGGTTTTGTAGATCAGAATTTTTAAACGACAAAATTAACCTGCAAATTCAGTTCAGATATCAATGCTTGCGCTTATTTAGATTGTTGAATTTATCTTTACCTTTACTAGATTTTATTTTTCAATGTTGTTTGATGCATTATCGTGTTACTTTATTATTAATAAAACTAATTTGGTTTTGTAGATTAAGATTTTTTGGCGAGAGAATCAAGTTCAAAATTCAATTGAGGTATGAATCTTTTTGCTTATTTGGCCTGTTGAATTCATGTTTGCCTTTGGTGCATTTTATTTTTTACAGTTGTTTGGTACATTATGGTATTAATTTCATTGTAATTTTATGGATTTGAAGTCTTTATTTGGATTTTGGACTGTGAGAAGGATCTGGTGGGTATAAATCTTCACTGCTTTGTATTGCAGCTCATTTTGATATCATTTATAATGGTATATAAATCTGCTGGATTAATATTCCAGTTTAATAGTGTTGTTTATTATGTGTGACAAGTTATATTAGTAACATTTACACTGTTATCTGTCGTAGTTAGACTTGCTGGCCATTTTTATCCTGTTTATGACATTTTTGTGCTAGGGTTTTTGAGCTTTGTTAATTACCATTTCGTTTTTTATTTTTTTTAATTTTTTGCTTGATTTGTTTTGTAGGTTGCATTTGCAAAGGGAGAAAAACATCTTAGATAGTTTTTGTGCTTATGAAACATTTGAGGGTAAGATGCACATGGTTATTTAAATATGTGGGTTTTGTTTCTTCAATTTTAAAATGGAAAAAACTTAACATTTTTTTTCCTTAGATTTTAATTAGAACGTGTTGTAAAGCTTTTTATGCATTGCTGTGGTTTATTGTAATAAGTTGGCAACTATGTATAAGGAGCTATTAGTTTTGGATTTACAGAAATTAGGTGTTCAATTAGTTGAGATTATTTGGTTTCCTTTCAATTTTCTTTGTTTTCTACTTTCTGTTATTGTCATGTATTTTTGTGACTTATTCTTATTCTACGGTTGTAGTATTATGTTAGTTTTGCAGAACATTATTATTTAGTCAGTGGTGGTTCTGTTTATGCCCAGAAAATGGTTAGCTAAAGTGTATTGACACATGATCTTTTTTATCAATATGTTGTAAATTTTTTTATATGTTGTGGTTTACTATGGTAACTTTTAGCAAGTATGTATAGGGGGAAATGCTTTTGCTTTCCCCTGTTTCCTTATTTTTTTCCGCAGAAAAAAAAATTTCATGCAATATTTTTCTGTTTTTGTTAAAATAATGTCCTGATGTGATTAAGTGCCTAAAGGTTGCTCATTTGGTCTAAGTTTTATACTCTAATATATTAAGTATACATGAAATATCCAATTTATCTTATTTATTGGCTATATATATGCTGCTTAGCAATTTGATTAGCTGAAAAATTTAGCCAGCAAGGCAAATTTTTTTATGCTAAAACTGATGCAGAGATGTTAGTTAACAAAAAGTGGGTCACTGTTTTTATCTTCTCAATTAAGTTTTAGAGAAACATTTATAATATGCTGAGGCATTATTTCATCCTTTTTCCATTTAAGTTTTAATTGGCATTTCATCTTTATTTGAATTCTTTTTTTTGTTTCAAATTAACATTGCTTCCCACTTGACTACATGCTTTCTGTTCAGATTTCATTTTGTGGCAAAAAAATTTCATTATATATACCTATCATTAGTCAAATTCAAACTTAGCAATAAGATAACTATTTAATTACATACCTATTAATTCTCAATTCCGTCATCAGAATTGCTCTTAATCTAAGTTTCTCAATTCTTTAGCGTCTAGAACACCCATTCCAAAACACTAGCTTCACTTTTACTAATAGACATTATCTTTTATGTTTAGCATAAAATAGATAACAATGCATGATAATGAATTACAAATTGTTTTTTTATTTCCTATATTCAAATTTAGTTTTTGCTCTTTCATCCTACGTATGACTCCATTTTTCCATCCATCTCAACTAATTATTATATATTATTTATTAAGTGCCATACAATCTTTTTTTAACACTTTATTTTACAATTTTAGGAAAAAAAAAAAGCTAATTCAGCAAGGGATTTACAACGTTGACAAATACATTTTCAAGCAATGAAGACACAAATATTCAAAGGTATGTAAAATTAATTAGTACTTTGTTAACTTTGTTTTATTGACGTTCTACATTTAATTACAATTTTTACTAGGCTTTCTCTTTAGACGAATTAGCTATTACTAATATATATATATATATATATATATATATATATATATAAACTAGCTTCTTTTCACTAGAGATAAAAGTATAAAAGTAGACATTTGCACTAGAGATATACCCGCTCCACATATTTTAATCTAATATGTTCTTTCACAGATTTACAAAATATGGGCAGGATTTATCTTTAGTGAAAGGATGTCTGTTTATACTTTTGAATATTGGCCTTAAACCTTTCACTAGACAAACAAATAATAAGCCATGTATTCACAATAAGTTAGAAGAAGAAGGTATCTATATAAATTGATAATAGTTAATTCCTGTAAAGAGAAAAGATGGAAATGATTATTCTTACTCCAGATAATCAAAACTAAGTTTACCAATTTACATAAATTTGATTCGTCTTAGAGCGCCATTTAATTTTGTTTTAAAAATTATAAAATTGGCAAATAAACTGCTATTTAATCATAGCATGATTTGCAACACTTTCGTAACTCTCTCTGTTTCTGTGCTTTTCTCTTGGTTTTTATAATTTTTTAGTGATTGCTGTGCCACAAACCATTTGGCCTGATTTAACTCCCATATTTTAAATAATTTGTTTGTCCCGCCATTAATTTTTTAATTATTATTTTTTCTCTCTCTGTCCCACAAATGTTGTTGCTTGGCCTCTGATTGTTTTAATTTTTGGTTATACTCCGCTTTTTGGGCCTCTGTCTTCCACGTGTTGATCATTGTGCGGGGTTCTGTTCAGAGGCTGATTGTTTTATTTTTTGGTTTTGCTCTGATTTTTCAGCCTCTGTCTTCCACGTGTTGATCATCGAGAACTATTCTATTCAGAGGCCTTAATGCTTTTTCTTTTGTTTTCATTGCATTCTCTCCTCACTTTTTCCTTTTGTTTTTCCGCTTCTCTCTACCTCTCATATGGGTTGCTCATATAGTGATTTGGTCTTCTGATTCTTCAGTGCAACGGGGCTCTGTACCTTTGCTGATGTTTCTGGCCGGTTGGTTGGGCGGCTTCCTCTAATGGGGTACGCTTCTGTTATTTTGTTATATGTTCTTTTGCCATTCATTCACTCAAAATTCCAAAAATCGAATATAGTAAAATAGTAGGTCAAATTCATTAATGTTATCTTAACTTCTGTTTAATAGATTTATATTGTTGCATGTTTGATTTTATTTTATTTTTTTAATTTATTTATTTTTTTTGCATGTTTGATTTTATGAATTTTTGCTGTTTGTTTTGTTAATTGCAGATTTATAGTGTTTGATTGATTTCGGTGAGGGTGAGTTGTTAAGTTTTCCTTTATTTGTTCATGATGTTTTATAAATGATTGCATGTTCTATATCTAATTTCACTAACTCTTCGGGTGTATTTTTCACAGTGGTTGTTCATTTTTTCTGTTATCAGTGCTTACCACTTGTTTGAGAATATGTATTAAATTGGCCTTTTTTTAGATTATTGGTATGTTTTGGATGTTTTTTGGTTTGTCGTGTGTAAGAATGTGAAATCAACTATATAAGGTAGTCAATTTCAATATAGCAGTAGCAGCTGCAGGAACTACAACAGTAGTAGCTGCTGGGATTCTAGATGGATGAAGAGGAGTGGGGTTATATTGAAGTCAGACCCGTAAGCAATTTACTCATATATATTGTATATATTGTATGGAATAAGAGATGTTAATTTTCAAAGAGTTTTTGTTCATTTTTTGTTTTGGTATTGTATTTACACAGAAGCGCATATGTTCTGCTGTTCAAGCCAGATGGCCAACCACTCTCTAGCATCAAAGTGGACCAGTGAGTATTACCAAACTTTATCAAACCAAATAATATGAACAACTCATCTTCTTTTCAACATTTTTTTCTGACATTTTTTTCATGTATCAATGATTATTTTTCCAAAATTTGAACCCAAGAATCTAAATGTGTTACTGTTGACTCTAAAAATTACAAAACCTACGTGGCGCGTAGGCCGAGTAACTAGCAAGCTAACTACGTCCTTCGGTTGAATGCGGGGCGTGCCAACTCGTCGGTCGAGCTTGGCCGAGGAGTAAAATTCGTTGATGTCGCGTTGAGCGCGTCGTTGACTTCTTTATCTTGCGATTGCGACCGAGGAAGGAACGCTCTCGGTCTCTGGGTTCTCTAGCCTGAAGACAAGGCTACTAATTCTGCGGAGTTCACAAATCGTTGGAGCCTGATTCGGTCACTGTGATTATATTCGTAAGAGTATAAGCACGCCGAATCGAGACCAAACTATATGGGCACAGGTACTCGAATGTGATGTATGTCTTGATGGTAAACGTAGTTCTGCCGTCGGAATGCCGAACCCCGAAACTTACTTGCGAGTATCCAATCATAAAATCACTCGGCGTCCAGTACGCAGAGCAATGCAATTCGTAACACCTGACTATGCCGAGAAGGCTAGCAAGGTGACCTCTGCCAACAAAGGTTCGAAAACCCTTCTCGGCCGAGACTTAGATAGGTAACCGGTCGATCTTGACGCAGTGCTGTTTATCCAAACTGAAGGTGCTTCTCGGTCGGCTGATTCTGTGGCAGCAGTGCTGTTTATCCAAACTGAAGATGCTCGCTGGGTGCCTTCACAGTGCTGTTTATCCAAACTGAAGGTGTGTCGACAGAAAAAGAACAGGAAAAATCTTAAGATGTTTGAGAGGTTTTGCGCAGGGCAATTGTATGCTGATTTTTGAAGGGGCTTTTCTGTTGCATGATTTCTTGTATTTATAGCACCCCATTCCTTGAGACCAATTCGCATTCTGATTCGGATTGGGAGTCCTTGTCCCATTTCAACTCTAACTCGAACAAACCTACTCCTATTGGGATTCTGAATTTTCCTTCTTTTCAAGGCTTTATTCTTAGCTGGTCGGGAATCCTGGTCGCACCAGGACTTCCTCGACCTTTTCTGTTTATCCGGACTACTTTAGATAGGATTTGGCCGACCCTGCCAACTGGCCCGGGATTTATTATTCGACCCATAGTATTTGTCATCACCTTGGGCGGAGCACATCCTTCTGAGGTCGCCGACTGTTAACTTTTGGTCGGGCCTCGGCCTTGAAGAAGCGGAAACGCCTATTGCTTTTTGGACTTTGCTTCCTTAATGACCATTACTCCTGCACATTTATGAGACATGATTGCACTCTCCTCGTTGCCCCCAACGTACAGCCACGTGTCGATTCTCCGCCGCTCTTAAAAGCTTTCAATCATGGCCCTCGAGATCGTGCACTTACTGAAGCGTCTTATCCTAATTAATGCATTAAAACTGTCACCGCACGCAATCGTGCGTCCTGGATTTTCGACCCCTCGATCCTATCTTCGCAGGTTCCCAAAATATCCGAAATGATTGGAACCTTTCCCGGTTAAATTTCCCCCTAATTTGAACCAGTGTTTTTCGAATTCCAAACGTTTGATCTTCATTCTGAAAAGCCTATAAATACCCACACTTCTGTCATTCGCATCTCACGCGTTCAGAAATTCTAAAATCTCAATTTTATCATTCCTGTTCGTTCAGACAAAGCCTTCCAATTCTTTTTCCTGCAACCTCTTTTTTTAACTCCAAATCCCTTCTTTCATCAATGGCCTCCTTTATCTCAAAGCTTTCTGACGAGTGCAGCAAATGTAAGGATTTCATTGATCGGAGCGCCGTCAAGACGCTGCGATTTGAAAATGACATGGCCACTACCCACCAGATTTTGGGTCCCCTTTTCAGAGACGCAGTGCCGTCGTCTATCTCTACTCTTCTCAAGGAGCAGTGTTTAATACCCCTGCTGCAGGGGTTCGACTGGTCGAAGTGGACTCTGGCGCGGCCTCAAGGAGCTTGGCCCTCGACCACCACGGCCTGGGCCGCCTGGGTTGACCGAATGAGCACATTCTTTGGCAAGGAATGGAAGGCTCTTGGTATCTACGATGCCATTATTCTGTCGACCATGGAGATTGCCATGGATAAGGAGCTGCTCATGGCGGCCCTGAGTTTATGGTGTTCGGCCACCAACACCATGATCCTGCCTTTCGGCCCCACAGTCCTCGACATTTCGGCCATCCTTGGGACTTCTCCAACCGGCCTTCCCATTGATGCCGCCCTTTTCGGATACCCATCTCCTCTCGACCTAAAGGCATTATTTGACGAAAGGGCCATCGAGACGCTAAGCCGTGGTGATCGGGAGCCCTCAAGGGAAGAAGTTCAGAAGCTCCTTGGGACTTCTCTTCGCCGGCCGAGGCGAGAAAGGCCTTAGGAAGGGAGAACACGAGGTCTTCCTCTTCTACTGGTACAACAAATTCATCTGTTGTACCAGGTCAAACAAATGCCTGGTCGAGAACATGCCGGTGGCCCAGGCACTGGCTAGTGGTCGCTCCTTGGCGTTCAGCCCTGCTATACTCGCTAACCTCTACCGTTGCTTGGCCGAGGCGACTATTAGCAAGATTGACCCGCACCAGAATAGACCCCTCTGGGTGTTCCAACTCTGGTTGCAGGTTTACTTTTCCACCATTCAATCGGAGGTTCCTGCCTTTCAACGATCGGCCGCCCTTGGCTTTCAACTGGCCTCTCGACCGGCACCACCTCACCGAGCCGACGAGGTCTTTAAACACTTCCTCGGCCTCGACGTCCTTTCGGATGACAAGTTCGTGGTATGCCGGCGCCAGGAGTACCCTGCCTCGATCAGGCTTCCTACGCCCGCGTGGGCCGAGTCCGAGGATGCGGACATCCGTCAATGCTGGGGGTCTTTCGTTTTGGCTCGCGATCTTCCTCTTGGTTGCGACGCCTGCCGAGCCAGCTGGGAGGTCTATCACCCCCATTTTGTCGCCCAGCAGCTCGGCTACCTTCAAGGCTGCCCCGTCCCCCTGCTTGCCTTTCGGTCTCTCCTGAGTCGAGGGCGTCTTTCCGGTTCCTCTGAAAGGGAATGCAAGACGTCGGAGCAGGAGTTTCAGGAGAAGTGCAAGAAATTCCGGCTCCGGCCGACGGTTCCTGAATCTTTGGGAACCGACACCTTCGGGGACTGGTGGGAGGAGTACACCAGTGACTTCTTCGGCGTCCGGGCCGAAGACATGGTGAACAAAATCTTCGGCGACCGTCCCAGACCAGCGCCCTAGGCCCAACCTAAGGAGTCGGCCCAAGGTATAGTTTTTCCGCTTTTTTTTTTTTTTTTTTTTTTTAATATCACTTGTCCTTGTTATTAATTACTTTGCTATTTCAGGGGGTCGCATGTCGAGGAAGGTTGAAGTGGTCGCCGCAGTGGCGAGGGCGAAGAAGTTGGTCTCCATGAAGAGGACCATCGCCACCGAGCGGACAGCCCCCGCCAAACGCCCTTATCGAAAGGCCGAGCCGGAGGATGATGCTCCTCGCCTTTCTAAACGCGTCAAGAAATTGGCGAAGAAGGGCGACCGGGAGATTCATGTCGTCCCAAGTGACACTACAGGGACGCCTGCTCCTGCCGGCTCTCCTTCTGTACCGGCTGCCCCGGCTTCTCCAAACCCGATTCCTCCAGCCGTCTCCCTTCCTGAGACCACGTCCGATCCAATCATCGCATCAGCTCCAGCTTCGAAGCCGGTCGTGGCGCCTGCCGTGGGGAAGTCAGCTGCACCTGTCGAGGCACCCTCTACTCCAACGGTCATTCTGCAAGAGGTATAATTCTACTTCCACTCTTGTTTCTTTAGGTTTCTAGTCGTAACGCAAAATGTTTTTCTTTTTGTTCAGGATGTCGAGAGCGAGAGCGACGAAGTCCCGCTGGAACGCCGTCGTCGACCAGTCAACTCTCCTCTCGTCCATCCTCTTCCGGTCGTCGAGGCGACCGCTCGACCGTGTCCTTCTGCGGCGGATCGCGGCAAGAGACCTATGGCCGATCCTGAGGCCACGGTCGAAACGCCGATCCACCCGCAGGATGAAGACCTTCCCATTCCTCCACAGGAAGTCTCCTCGGCCTTTGTAAGTCTTGTTTCTTTTGCGTTGATTTTCTCATGACACATGTTCTTAAAAGACTATTAAATGTTAGGTGCCCGAACGTTCATTTCACCGACAATTTTATGCGCCGACGGGCGTTGTCTATATTTCCTGGCCACCGTCGTGGCCATCAAATGTAGATGACCTCCATCGGCCGCGTGAATTGCGAAGCGGTCTAAGGCACTGGGCTCGGCCATTAAGTTCCCTGGGTTGAGCAATGACCCATAGGGCATGGCCGAAGTCTCTTCTCGGCAGGTCTAAAACAATCCATTTTTGTCATGCACTATATCACGACGTCTTACTTTCCTTCACAAAGTTTTCCTTTCATGTGCAGCCATCGTGGGAAGTGGAGCTCGACGCTCTTCTTCAGAGCACGACCGGTGAGGCCGGCTCCTCTGCTGCTCTTGCCGAACCAGCGGGAGCCATGCCCGAGGCCGAAGCCTTCGTGAAGTTGCACGAAGTCCTGTCTCTCACTGCCTCCCAAGCTCTCCGATCCAAGGGTCTTGACTCCGTTAGGGAGTGTCTTAATGACCTTGCCAGCGGCGGTTACCTAAGCACGGAGAATATCTCCTTCCTCACCGACCTCTTGGAGCGGACTCGGCAACACTTCCACATCTTCGAGCGAGCCCTACAAGCCGTGGATGACCTGAAGGCTGCCAAGGTCGCGCAAGAGGCCGGCCGAGCTAAGATGGAGGCAATCAAAGCCAGGAAAGCGAAGCTGACCGAGTTTGATCGCCAGATCTTTGACCTCCAGCGTCAAATTTTTGACCTTCAACGGCAAAGGTCTACTGCTGCTTCCGAGCTTGAGAAAGACTTCGAGGCCAACAGGGCTCGGCTGACGGCCTTCACGGCCGGCGCACGGCATATCCAGCAGCTTCAGTGCAATAAAAAGACGAGGCAGGCTGAGATAATTTTGGGCGAAGCGAAGTGGTTGGAGCTAAAAGCTGCCCTTGAGACTTTCCTCCCCTCGACCCCCTAGGAATTTATCATTGTATTTGTTCTCTTATTATCAATACAATGGTTCTTTTGCTATCAATAAAATGGTCTTTTGCTATCAATACAATGGTCTTACTCTTGCATTTCCCATGTAATTGGATAGTACTTTTTTAAAAATTTTCCATTAATCGGCAATTTGTGAACTGAACCCACCCGATCTCTAAGATGATATGCCCCCTTGCCGAGGACTTTGTGAACGATGAATGGCCCTTCCCAATTCGGCGACCATTTACCGAATCGGGGGTCTTTAATCCCGACAGGCAACACAGTTTGCCAAACCAATTCTCCTTCGCCGAACATTTTTTGTCTTACACGCTAGTTATACGCTCGCTCGGCAATTTTCTTTTGTGCTATCAATAAGTTACTCGCGTCGATTCAATTTTCTTCTAAGTCTTCTAATTCTTGTCGCATCGCTTGACCATACTCGACACTGAACAAACTACTATGCTCGACTACTCGTAATGAGCTTATACTCAACTCAACCGGTAACATAGCGTCGTGTCCATAAGTTAACGCATAAGGACTGGTTCCAGTGGCCGACCGGGGTGAAGTTCGGTACGCCCATAATGCTTCATTTAACTTCAAATGCCATAACCCAGGTCTCTCTCTTACCATTTTTTCGAGAATGCTGATCAACACCTTATTGCTTGCCTCGGCATGTCCGTTTGCCTGAGGGTAGTACGGCGTAGATTGCTCAAGTCGGATATTCAAATTTGCCGCATATTCCTTAAACCTATCGGCCGTGAATATGGTGCCATTGTCAGTTATGATCGTTTCTGGTACGCCGAATCTGGTCACAATATTCTCCTTTACGAAATTGCATACCTCTTTGGTCGTTAAATCAGCGTATGATCTTGCCTCGACCCATTTAGTGAAATAGTCAATTGCTACAATTATCCACGCGTGTTTCGCCGCTCCCGATGATGGCGTGATTTTGCCAATTACGTCCATTGCCCATCCCTTGAACGGCCATGGTTTAGTAACCGAGTGAAGTAATTCGGCCGGGGCTCTCTGCACGGGTCCATGAATTTGGCGTGGTACGCATCTTCGTGCATATTCGATGCAATCCTTCAATATATTGGGCCAAAAATAACCATGTCGTCGAAGTAACCAGCGCATTTTTTGTCCAGACTGGTGTGCCCCACAAATTCCTTCATGTACCTCGGCCATTGCTTGGGCAGCCTCGTGTGGGCCGAGGCACAATAGTAGTAACCCGTCCTCACCCTTGCGGTATAATTCATTTTGGTACGACACGTAATTCGTGGCGAGGACCTTCGTTCTCCGGTCGTGTTTCCTGTTGGGGTTATCGAGGTACTGTAACATCGTCTTTCTCCAATCATCTGGTTCTACCTCGACGGCACATACTTCTACGGGGTCTCCTCATTCTAGTAGGGATGGGAGCGACATTACCCTAGTGCATATTACGTGTGCGCGCTGGAGAGTTTGCCGATTGATCAAGGCTGGGTACGATTGCAGACTTGTGGCTGCAATTCGGCCTAGCTTGCCCCCCATGAGTTGTGCTCCGGAGGCGATCTGGGCGAGTTCGTCGGCGTCTGTGTTGTGGATTCGTGAAATATGTTCAAATGTGGTCCGTTCGAATGACTCGGCCAGGTAGGTGGCGACCATGTGATAGGGCGCTAAAGTACAACTCATGCAACGAAAAATGCCGTTCAATTGGTTAATCACAAGTTCGGAATCACCGAGGACGAGAACGCGGGAGGCCCGTAGATCGTGTAAAACGTGGAGGTCGATAATGAGGGCTTCATATTCGGCCTGATTATTCGTGCAGCTAAAATCCAACTTGAGAGAAAAATACCATCGGCAGTGGTTAGGTGACTGAATTGCAATACCGACACCCACCAAGGTCGAAGTACTGGAACCATCAAAATGCATAGTCCAATGGTTATCGTGTGTGGTGACTAAACCGATGTCGACATCACCTCCCTCAAAACCATAAGGGGAAGGGTGTTGGGCCAAGAAGTCAGCGAGAGCTTGCCCCTTGACGGCCTTTTGGGGTACGTACTGCAGGCTGAACTCGGATAAGGCGAGCGTCCATTTCCCGATTCGGCCTTTGACGATAGGCCGAGTGAGCATGTAACGAATTACGTCTGTTTGGGTGATGACCTGCGTAACTGATGGGAGCATGTAATGCCGAAGCTTAGATGCGGCAAAAAACAAAGCTAAGCAAAGTTTTTCGACAGGTGAATAATTGAGCTCTGGTGAATTCAGATTTCGGCTAAGATAAAAGATAGCTTGCTCACGTCCTACATTGTTATCTTGTGCGAGGAGATAACCAATGGATTTGGCGGCTGCCGAAATGTATAATTTAAGGGGTTTGTTGCGACAGGGTGGAACCAACACGGGTGGGGTGGAAAGGGCCACCTTGATTTGCGTAAATGCAGTTTGATGCTCTTCGCGCCATTCAAATTTGTCGGTATCCTTAAGTTTAAGGAGCGTAGAGAATGCCTTCATCTTACTGGCCGAATTGGCGATGAAGCGGCGGAGGAAATTTATCTGCCCGAGTAACGACTGGAGCTGTTTCTTTGTTGTCGGAGGTGGGGCGCTAATGATGGCGCAGGCTTTATTTTCGTCGACTTCGATGCCGCGATGGTGCACCAGAAAGCCAAGGAAATTACCGGCCGAAACACTGAAAGCACACTTGGCCGGATTCATTTTGAGATTATTCTTGCCCATGCGAAGGAACGCTTGCCGCAGATCATCCAGGTGCGTTTGGCGGCGTTTAGACTTTACCACCGCATCATCGATATAAACCTCGACGATTGTACCGATTAGATCGTGAAATATCATATTCATGGCTCGTTGGTATGTGGTGCCGGCATTCTTAAGGCCGAATGGCATGACTACCCATTCGTAAGTACCAAGGGCCCCAGGGCAGCGGAAAGCCGTCTTGTGGACGTCAGCTTCGGCAATGAAAATCTGGTTGTAACCCGCATGGCCGTCCATAAAAGATAGCAGTTCATGATTAGCTGCGGCATCAATTAGCAAATCTGAGATTTGAAGGAAGATTTGTGAAAAACAAGTTCATTTGAGCAACATCAACAACATGCAATTAACAATTAAAAGGCGGAATCATGTTTATATGCACTCAAAAACAAAACTTAACACATGAACTTCAAAGCCTAGTAGATAGGTGAACCAAGACTCAACTCAAAAACAAAGTGAGTTGAGAAATCAATACCCTTGTAGATTCCTCTTTGCATAAGCAAAGGCTAATCACCCAAAGAGAGGGCCTTCATTCCTTGCATCTTAGATCCATGGATTTGGATGGATGAAAAGGTTTCTCCAAGTTCCCAAAATTGAGAACCTCTAAGTCTCCACACCAAGGCATATTGTAGAAGAAATGAGTGACCTTGAGGAAGTAAGATTGCTAGATGTTTTCCTCAAGGGTGGCCGGCCTCTTTGAGAGCAAAGGGAGGTTTGTGTTCTCATCTTTACTCCTAAGAAAACCCTAAGGATGAAATGGCTATAAAGATGTCTTTATACCACCTCACAATGGAGTGGCAAACTTGCAATTAAGCCAAGTTCACTACCCTCCTCTAAATGGCCAGCCATATGGGATTTATTGGGCTATTTGGGCCTTTGTGAATCATTATTCATTAAGTTGTCATACAACTTAAGTCAATGGACTTGACGTTTGAAGCCCATTGGGCCTTAAGGTCCAAAACTATCCCGAGGTCTTTTAACGAACTTATTCGTTTGATTAATAATCATATTAATTAATCCTTGCCATAAATAATTAAACCATTTGATTATTCTTACTCATCTCCGTTGAATCTTCAATCTCTACCTTACACGGTGTACGATCCATTAGGTTCCTTTTAGCGAGGCAATGGGCGATTCAAACTCTTTCAAATCGATTGTGAATTGAAACTTACTTTCAATTCTCCCGTTAGTGATAATACACTTTTAGGGCTTCCACAAACCATGGCTGACGCCTAGCAGCATGTCATGGTTACCCAAGCTAATCAGAAGAGGTGGAGAACCTATTCAGTTTTAGGATTACAAATGCAATACGGTCTTTCTCTAATACAATACTCTTGACCACATTGTTTGGTTTGATAGTTTATTCATGTCTACTATCCAATGTGAGTCTTGTGCTTATATGATTACCTTGAATGTGATTTGGAACACATTCCTAAATCTCATTCATACTTTGGCCAAAGATTCTTAATCATATCACAGAGTATTCTCCCTCAAACAGTTTGAAGGTTAGAGATCCCTTGTTGCGCATTCACTTGCCTCCATGGCTAAGTGGCTTAACCCCAACGATGCCGTGGACACCCTCCTGATGGAGTGACTTTGATATAATCAAAGATTAAGGACCTAACCACAAGACAACTGTGATGCCTCAGGTCAAAAGACTAATTTGCATTATCCCAACCATGAGTTCTCATGTGACATGAATATGAGAACTCTTCGTTGATCATGTTCAGTGAACTCATTCTCTATTGAGCACCTACGTACTTGTCTTGATGTCACACACACCAATGACTCGAGACTAGTCACTCTCCCTGAGAGAAGACATAGCACGTACTGATCTTAACCGACTGTCAATGCCCAATTGACAATCCTATGATCAGGAACGTTTAGGATGTGTCAACGAAAGAATGGTCTCATGAATCTAACTTCTTTAGATCGCATTCTTCCAATCACATATTCCTTGGACTTATCGTTTAAGCATATAACATTTATATGAGACGGCTCAAACAATAATCTTTGCCCTTTACATTTAAACTACATTAGTTTGAAATGTCCATAAAGTATCATCATATGATTGGTTTTAGGGCACATTTCCAACAAGATTGGCATTGTATATTGATGCGAGAATTATGCGCACACAAATTAAACCCTCTTTTTGTCAATTGTAGTGAAGTGTATAAGTAGGGATCGTTCTGGACCGGGGATTAGGAGGGATTGTTAATCACTTGGATTTGACTCAAAAACGTAAAAACAAGATAAAACACTAAACTAGACTCAAAGAATGTGAAACTAAACGTTAAAACACTAAGACAAACCAAAAGACTCAAAATGCTTT